CACACACACACACACACACACACACACACACACACACACACACACACAAAGGCCCGACAATGACTCCATTCATTCATGAGCTCTCCTCTGACTCTTTCTGCTTCTATTATCTCTTTATAAACACGGTAAAGGTCAAAAACACGGCGGACACCAAGTTTGTCCTCTCTCAGTCTCTCTGACCTCGATCTGCTCCGGCTGCTGAATGTTTGAACACTTAAGATGCTCCACACTCTGCCTTGTTTTTACTGGAGCCACTCAACTAATTAGCAGAGTGGGCGTGGCTTTTAAGTGCTGCTCATGGAGAATTACTTAACTGTCATTAAAGTATAATCTGAGGAAACAAAAACACGACAGCATAAAGCAGGGCTGATCAACTAAATTGCCACAGTTACTGCAGGTCAGCAGCTCAGGGAGCAGCAACATCCAACAATTAAAGTCATTATGTAAATAAACCAAGTGTTACAAAGATCTGTTACCTTTGAAATAGTTTTGCTGCATTAATACAACATACAGAACCCTGTGTAATAAAAGAAGTGATAATAAAACAACATAAAAAACAAAAATAACACATTATGCCTCCTGTTTAAAGGAGACATATCATGCTAAATGCACTTTTTTTGCATTTATAAACGTTTTTTGTGCAATTATAGTGTCTAGGAGTGTAGAAAACTTTAATTTATTCTGTCCAGTTACTGCAAAGATATTTTTATATTTTTTTATGGGTCGAATTTTTCAGTTTGTTCAAAATCTGCAGTTGCTTATTTTGTTTCATTTTTTATTTCGTCACACTTTTTTCTTCAGAACTACCATTTATGGTAATGTATTTCTGGCCAACTGGATTTCATAGTCCGCCATTTTTTTTCCTCGCTGTGTGATTTTCATAGCATCATGCTGAAAATGCAAGTTCAGAAGTCAAAATGTTCGGTTCTGGGGTGTGTAAACCCACATTATTCTCTACATAGACTACCAGCGTCAGACCTTCTTCAAAGTGCCTGTTTATGGAAATGTACCCACAACAGGGCGGAAAGTGCTTGTGGACAACACAGGATGAATGTTACAACAACAAGGGTGAGTTATGAACTGTAAATGTGTTTTAACTGTCTAATTTAGGTGTTTCTACCCTCTGTGTCGGAATATGAGGGGAGAAAGAAGAGCTGTGTTTAAGTTTCTTTACCGAACGGGTGCTCAGCACCATGTTTTACTTTCACTTTCACCCCACACTGTAATCAGCGTGTCCGTGTTGTTTTTCTTTTTAAAAATGCTGGAACATTTCATGCTGTGATCTAAAGTTAACGTCAGCTGTTTTAAGTGCATTTTTTGCCTGGTGTTAAAAACGGGAGCAGCAGAATGAGGCAGAGAAGCTGTGAGCGCTGTGTGTGAAGTCCTCATAAGGATAGCAAGATGGATGTGTGTCTCTCCTTTTTTCTCTGTGTTGCTCTGAGTTTTATTTTGGCGTGTTGCTGTTTTTGCATCACAAAAGCTGGGAACATAGTCATTTTATGTAACAAAATATTATATTAATC